TAATAATTTAGCTTGTTATTTTAATAATATAAAGTATATTAAATTCATGCAATTAATTTAGCTTAATCAATTCCATAAAATTTCAATAAATAAATAAATAAATATTCAACATGATGTAGTTTAGGGTTGGCTTCGCAAATTCACAAGCCTGGTACGAATCACTTACATTTAAATTTTAAAATCCAAAAAACACAGATATTTGATGTGCTAACATCTTCTATGATTGATTTCATCTACATGCATAGATATCATTTGCTTAACCAGGAATCTACCAGGTCTGTAGGAATGAATATCACAGCTATATTGATTAAAATGATGATCTCAGAATATAGCATTTTTAACTGATTGGATTAAGAACCGTTGACCCAAAAACCATGGAAACCAAGTGGAAAATTTAAATGCCTGGGGACCTCTAATCTTGCTACGAGTGCATCAGCTTTCCCTATCCTCTTCGGATTCAAAATTACAAGATAGCACCTTTGTATTGCAACTGCATACTGCAAAACAGCAAAAATGCGCAGCAAAGTTGCATTAAAACACATGCAAAAATCTTGTATGTCACCTTTTTTTTTTTTTCAGTAATGCTGCGGAAGAACATTGGAAAAAAAACTCTTCAGTGCGGATTGATTTCTCACCTCCACTACCAGAAGATATCCATCGTCTTCTTCCCTTCCTTTTGGAACAAATATAGGCTCCCCGATAAACCTCCTCGCACCAACGGTCCATGTATGGATAGATTTGTCTAACAAGTTTAGCTTCACCACCATATCGAAAGGGAAATGCGGCAATGTTTGGCGTGAGCCTGAAGAACTTGCTGCATAAACATACTTGTTTTTATTACCAGAGAAGTCAGGATTTATGACAGGAAAATCTGCTGGCTTGCTCCACTGATTCAAGGGTTCAACGCTGCTTTCTTGACAGGTCCCATCAGCATCCAAATTTATAGAAACCTACATTACATATAAATCAATATCTTAGGTCGAGGATAGCTCCACAATTGTGGTTGATCATAAAAATCTGAAATTCACAATTTTAACCATCCTTGTAGAGAAAAATCATCTTGGCTCCGCATCTTGTTCTTTTTTCCCTCGTGCATGAAACTAAAGCATTTCAATCCCTTACAGATTTATTCACAGAGAGAGAAGAGTACCTGAACAAGATGGGGCAGTAGCTCATCTCCACCTTCCTTCACGTTCATAACAGAAGGGTCTAGCTTAGCATTTTGCCAATTATATCCTGTCCAATTGCAAAGATGTATATCACAGTTTCTGTCAAGAGTTATCTAGATTCCTACTTGAAAACTACGTTGATTTCTCTTTACTTCCGAGATAATCTTAAGTAATAAGTGCTCAAAAACCACCCACCAAATAGTTTTTGGAAATTGAACCATTGGTAGGAGCAAATGCAAGCATGTATTTGAATTTGCAAATTTCCATTGACATCTTTGGCCTCATAAGCATTGCCAACATGTAGCAGCCACATTGTTGAAGGTGCTTCCACTGGCACTCTCCAGTTTCTATTGCTGGGTGATTTCTCAGGAAATCGGGGAAGCAAGTAGATGGGAGAGGTAGACTTGCTAGGATTCACTGACAAAGCTGATATCATCGGAGATAGTCCACAAATAGCAGTCATTGATCCTGCAATATCCAGGTTATGTATTGCAAAGTAATTAATCGTATCTGCCAACAAAATCCATATTTATTGCTATTGTGATCTCTAGTCACTTGTGCCATAGCAATTCTTTAAGACAGCACATGAAAAAAAAGAAAAAACAGCATTATTTTAACTAAAATGATTGGCTTGAAGATTTAATGACCCAAACCCTTTTCCAAATCAATCCCCGATCTAACACTATAATATTAATTGTTTCCATTATATAATTTAAGATCAGACAAGGTAACATAAATGTTCTTTGCATGCAGATGATTACCGATGACATCAAGCTTAATGCGGTTGGCGAATAATATGTAATGAGTATCTGTAAATGCCCAGTCATGGATCATCAAATGATCGGGAATGTTGAATTCTTGTCTCTGCAACAACTTGAAATTTTCATCATATTCTGAAAATGACAAATTGTTAATCAACAATCACTAGATGAGATTTTTATTTCTAGGCATAAAATTACTGCCATTCTCAACATTATTTACCATAAAAAGTAAAATTACTGCGGGGCAGTAGCATGTCCTCGGCATTGCATGAAGCAGTAATCAGTCTGTTCCTTTTAGCATCGAGTTTATAATGGGACAACAATCTCTTTGGTGGCATTTTAAACACTCCTGTGCAAGTAATTTTTCAGAAGAAGAGAAAAACACTCCTATAGTCAGCAAAAACACAAACATTAATATATAAACCTCTGCAATTTCCTTTAATCTATCAACAAAATCCTTACTAGTAGAAAAAATTTAATTTGATGTAGTCATCTTTAGCCACCCTAATATATCCTTAGTTCATGTAAAC